TACATCATATTCGTCCCGAGGGATAGCGCAACGGCCTCCTCCGTTTTTCCATCTCTCCTCTTCTTTCTTTCCGTTCCATTCCTTCCCTTCCTTCGTTCCCTCCATTTCGTTCTATTCGTTTAGGGGTTACACCGTCGCTCTCGATTCCGCGCGATTTCCGAGAGACTGGCATTCTTCGCGAAACTCGAAGGAGAAAGCGCCTCTGACCGATTACTCCGAAATCGTTCCGTTCCACCTGCGCTGCTACGGACATGCGTGCACACCGGTAAATCGCGGGTTCGGAAGAGAAACGCGAAAGACACGCGGAGAAAAGTCGCGAGTCAGGGGTCGAGGGACGAATCTGGATTTGGCAAACCACCGTCTAATAGGCGTTCCTGTCTCTCCATCGATTTTCGGATTATCCGACAGGCTTCTGGCTGCCAACTATCATCCTTTTGTTCCTTTCGACTCTTTCCATTCTCTCCGCTCCTCTCCGTCTGGCTCTCGGGACTCTCGCAAGTACCTCGCCCCACGGCTACGCTCGGCATAGCCGTGTAGATCGGTGGCACTTGCGTGGTCGAGCGATTAAGCGGTTTCGAGCCGATATCCCGCAAGAAAATTGGCCAGGTTTCCAGCGGACCGACTTTCAATTAACCCTCCGTCTTTCCACGGAGGGATTTTTACAGGCTCGTATCCGCGGTATTCGCGCGATTGCCGAACTACGCGCGACCACCCGAAGCGAAATTAATCGGACGCCGACTGAAATCTTTGCTGCTGGAAGGATTGCTCGCGAGCTCGCGGTAACGCGACGCGCGCGTTCACCGGGGAATGGATTCGGGCCGAAACGATCGACGTCTCGGGATCGTGACGAGTCTTCTTCCGATTCGGTGTCGGAGAGATCGGCACCGTCATCGATCAGATTCGTGTACGACAAAACGTAGAAGCAGAGAGCATCGAAAGCCGAGAATAAGTGCCGCGTAACCGCGCGGCGATTTGTCCGGATCAGCGTCAGGCTAAGCAGATTACGAGCTCTCCCCAAACGAACCGGCACCGACTCGCAGGAGGAATCGTGGCGACCGAGTGGCGAAGTCGGTCGATCCGTTGGGAGGTCCGTCGATGAACGACCAAGTAGGCGAAGAAACGTCTGCGATCGCGGGTCCGATCTATTCGTCGAGATCCTCGGGGGTCGTGGATCCGAATCGCCGCGAAAACTCTTGGATCGCGGGCTAGAGAAATTCTCTGGCGGATCCGCCGTTGGTTCGGACGCCGATTCTATATCGGATATCCCACGTCGGAGATACAAAGGGAGAAACGAACGGTCGATAGCTAGCGCGCTTTTGACGACTAAATATATCTGGATGCGAGAACGCAGCGGCCGTAATAACGTATCCAAAGATACATAGTCGCGTGGTACGAGAACGATCTCTGCTTCCACGCGACCCTTTGAAGTGGTTTTCGTTGGGCCGCGAGTACGAAACGGATTCACCTGATCGTAACGTCGTCGGCCATAACTGGTCGGGCGCATGGGCGCGCGAGCGCACGAGCGAGCTACCCGCGAGTCGTTCGTCTATAAAAAGGAAGGTTTTAAACGACCGGAAGCGATACCGTAGCGGCTTCTCCTTTGAGGCGCCGGCGGTAACGAAACGACGCGACGTCGCTGCTAACCTCGCGTAATTTCTTCCTCTCCTCGATCGCCATCTTTCTTCGATCTCGAGGAAAAAAGGCGCTGCGGCGCTCCAGCGCGAGGGTTGGCAGCCTCCGCGTCGTAATAACCGGCAGTGATGCCGCGTCGGGATTCGCCTAACGAAGTCGTTACGTTTAATTATCGCGCGTCTGCCGGAGCGTACCGATTCCGAGGGCAATTAACGTATTTGTGCCGTGCGCCGCGTTACGAGCGAGATCGCGTGTTACGAACAACGGTAATTAGAAACGGACGGTCGGCGGAGACGCGACTGTAGCCGATTTCTCGCTCGACCGAACGACCGCTCGACCGACCGGCCGACCGGCACCCGACAGAGCGAGAGGGTCGAGATAAGGCGACGAGACTCGAATTTTCGCACGCGGCGAAAAGATTTTACACGGATAAGAGGAAAGCGGCGGTGCGGGGCAGGGGGGGGGGGCGAGAGGGCGGCGAGGAGAGCGGCCGAGGGAGGAAGCACGGTTTCGTTCGATTTCACGAACCGATCGTGCCGCTATCGCCGCGGTTCGCTCGAGAATTATAATATTTATCTTTCGCGGATAATAACGGAATTGAATCGCGTGAAATTTCTAACTCGTAATGATATCGCGGCCCGTTTTTTCTACACGTTAAAGCGTATAATTACAATAATCCGCCGATGATATCGCGCGCGATACACGTATCGCTACCTACGTATTTAGCGCGCAAGGCAATTTCCTGCTTTATTATAATAATATCCGGAGCAATCTGCTCCCTTCCCACCACCCGGAGCGTAACTTCGTACTCTCGAGGAGCTTCTTATTTTCGAACTCGCCGCGTCTTCGTTAACCGCTCGCGTCTCGCGCTGATCCGTGGCCCCTCCGTATCGCCCGCGTGTCCGATTATTAACGTTTCGCGAGTACGCGCGGGTGAAACGGACGACGACGACGACGGCGGCGACGATGGCGACGATTCGTGGAGCGCGGGTGCAGAGAGAGAAGGAGGGTTGCGAAGCATCGCGAAGCGCGAAATCCTCGCGTCTCCACCCAACCACGATCGACCCTACGAAAGCATCCACCGAAGGAAGAACGAGGAACGAAAGAACGAAGCACCGAGCTAGCTGCGATGCTTAGCGAGCTTCGACCGAGCAGCTAACCACCCACCGGCGTTACCGGTCGCTCGCGTTTAAAGCTCCGCCAGTAAAACGATAAATTGCGCGACTGTGCAGAGTCGCGCGAGAAACCGGCGACCTATGGGAAGAGAGAGAGAGAGAGAGAAAGAGCGAGGCACGGGGACGGACAGAGAGGGAAAGGGGAGTGGAAGAACGAAGAGAGGAAAACGGTGGTCCCTGTCAGCAATTGCCCCCTCTCGTAAGAAAAAATGGCAGCTGCTGTGGCTAGATGCCGCGTACCGAACCATAATGCCGTACCACCCTCCTCGCTTACTCGTCCGCACGGAGCTCGCGCGAGAGGGCATTCGAAGCTCGAGGAGAGAAACGGGAGGCCGACCGTGCCGAAAGTAGCAACCTGGCCGGGAGAAAAGAGGACGATCGAACGAAACGGCTCGGCTGCTGGACGAGGAGAAAGAGTTGTCCAAGGTAAGAGGAACAACGGAGAACCGCAAAAGAGGAGGAGGCACGTACGGTTCGCGACGACCACCACCATCTCTGTCGCTGTCGCCGCCGCCGCCGCCACCGCCGCCGCCGTCAGGATCGCCACCCACCGCCACCGCCATCCTCGTCGCCGCCACCACCACCGCCTCCACCAACACCGCCGCCATCGCCACCACCACCGGCACGTCGCCGCCACCGCCATCGCCGTAGCTACCACCACCACCACCACCACCACCACCACCACCACCACCGCCGCCAACAGCGACGACACTGGCAGCACCATTACCGGCGGCACTGGTACGACCGGCGGTGTTGCACCCGCTGCCACGGTCGTCGTTGACGGTCGACGTCGTACCGGTTGGTAAGGCGATCGGGGTAACGTTTCAGCGATCCCGACGATCGTGATATCTCTGAATCAACGGCTGGATAGGACGAACGGCGAGCGTGGAAAGGCGGATGGAGAACGTGAAAAGGCGGGAGAGAGCGGAAAGTAAGAAGGACGAAGGATGGAAGAAAGGAAGGAAGGAAGGAAGGAAGGAAGGAAGAAAGGTGGAGCGCGGGGCGAAATTGGCGCGTAGTAGCGTGGACTGGCGTACGCGCGTAAAGCGACGGTACGCGGGTGTACGCGCGTGGAAAGACAGCTGGCTGCCGGTTGGCGATCGCGATACCTCGAAACGGGGAAGAAGGACGGAAGCGGTAATAAGGTGGTCGCGGAGCTCTCGGCGAATTCCTAGGAGGAGAGAGACGGCGGGCGGGGCCGGGTGCTGATCGTTCGGGCGGAGCTTGGCTGGAGGGAACCGCCTACCGAGTCGGCGTCGCCTTTTCTCCCTCTTGGTCCGGCCCCATCGTCGTCTCTCACCCCGAGCGTGGAGTGGCGCGCGATCTCTCCCGCCGCCCCGTGTCTCGCCGCGCGACGCGGACGATCGAGCTCGAGCGAGCCGCGGAGCGTCGGGGGTGGGGGCCGAAACGAGAAGCCGGCCGCCGGTGGCGCGGGTCAGTCTGTCGGGCAACCGGTCGCTCTCTCGTTTCTCGCTCTGTCCGCGCTCTCCGCTCGACTCGAGCGTTCTCCACGCTCCGACACTCCATACGCGCGCGGTCCCGATATCGTGCGCGCGCGCGCGCGCGCTAACGCGATACGTTCCACGCCGATCACGAGAGAACGCGAAAAACCCGATCGGAAAAGCCAACCTTCGCCAGAGACAGTGACGTCGTCCTTTCCTCCTCGTCGTCGTCGTCGTCGTCGTCGTCGTCGTCGTCGTCGTCGCGACGGGGTATCGAGAGCGTATCGCGAAAAGTGTGTCGACGTTACGCGTGAATCCTCGCTCCGGTCCGGTTTGCCCGCCGTTTTTCACAGCTGGAGACTCGACGTATCCCGGTGATCGTGGCGATGCGCGCGCCTCGTCGCGCACCTCGACGCTCGACTTAACCCCGCGGTCCACGACCGTCGAGACTCGAGTCCGGCCACCCTTTCATCGGCCAGACGTGCTTTACATCCGGTGAGAACGATCTCGATCGTCGAGGACGCCATCCACTCGGTCGTTCGATCGGAATCGCGGCCGCGAGATCGTTGGATCGCCGGGACGCACGCGACGCTCGTCGTTGGTCCGACGTTCGTCGCACCGTCCGGGAGAATGTGGAGAATTTCCGTTCGGAGGATCGGCGGGGTAACGACTGTTTTCGAAACGAACAGACCGATCTCCTCTCGATAATAGTTGACAGACGAGCGTGGTTCGGAAAGCAGAGCGCGAGGTGATGTTGCTGGAGTCGCGAGGTCTCGCCGGCAGGAAGAGAAACGGATTGACGCTGTCTTCTTTCGGTGGTGGAGGTGGCGGTGGTGGCGGCGGCGGCGGCGGCGGTGGCGGTGGAGGAAGCGGAGGAGGCGGCTGCGGCGGCGGCGGTGCCGGCAGCGAGGAGGACGACGAGGAATCTCGACATCTGTTTTTGGGAAGAAAAATGCAGACCGAGGGTGCCGCCGCCTCCGCGGTTTCCACCGGTTTGTCGCCCGGCTGCACGCGCGACGACGGCGACGAGAGCTCCAGCCCTTCGCCCAACAGCAGCCTCTTGAACAACTTGAACAACAACTGCAACTCCAATCGTCAATGCGCCACCGACTTTAGCATCGCGGCCATCATGGCCCGAGACTCTAGACAGCAGCAACAGCAGCAACAGCAGCAGCAGCAGCAGCAGCAGCAAACGCAGCAGTCGCAGCAGCAACAACAGCAGCAGCAGCAGCAGCAACAGTCTCAGCAACAATCGCAAACCTCGCCGTCGCAGCAGCAACAGCAGCAACCGTTGCAGCTGCAAACGCAACAGCAATTGCAGCAACCTCATCATCATCGGCAGTTGCAGCAACAGGCCGTCGGCGGCGGGAAATTGCATCAACACGGTGAGCTTTCCTTCCTTCCTTCTTTTCCTCCGCGATCGAGCAACGGAATCGACGTAGAAATCCGATAGGTCGTTATCGGGCCAGCAGACGCGACGGAAGGCTTTTCTTTTTTTGCCTATCAACCTAGGCCCTGTTAACGAGATCGTTTCGTATGGTATCCCCTTCGTAATGGACCACTACCGTTTCGTCGTTTCTTTCCACGGGCAAAAAAGATGGCCGAAAGACCGATCCCGTCTATTATCCCTTATCGGCCGGCCGTTGTCGTTTCGTTGTTTTTCCTCTTTTTTCCCTTTTTTCCTTTTTCTTTTTTTTCCTTTTTTCTCTCTTTTCTCGAGCAACCCGCCACTTTAAACGAGATACCGGCCGTGGACATTGGCGAAAGACGACGACGACGACGACGACGACGACGACGACGACGACGACGACGACGAAGATGTCGAGGATAAAAACGACGAGGACGATGGCGGTTTGTGATTGGCGGTGATGGTTGCAGCAAAGGGTTGGCGGGTGTCGGGCCGCGATTAATCTCGATCGCGAGAGACGTTAGCTTTCGAAGGACGAAAAGGGAATAAAAGAGAAAGAAGAGAATAGCGAGGTGCGCGGTTAATGAATTATTTAGCGGAGAAGATTGTGAATGAAACGGCGTGTAGCCGGCTTCGGATCGGGGCGCGCGTTAATTCGCCAGGCGAGAAACGGCCGTTTCGCGCAGCCAGGTGAGGTGTCTCATCGGAATTCTGGAAACGACCGTGGCTGCTTTGCCCAGCCAGACGTCCGAACGAGACTCGACGGTGTTTGGTTTCATCATCGCGTATCTTGGACGCCCGCGGCGAATAATCGCCCACGAAGATTCTACGCGGACGAAATTTACGGTTGGCCACGGTGCAATTCACCCACGGAAACGGACCGTCGTTCCCAAATAAACTTGGGTAAACGGCGCGATGAATCGACCGAGCTCTCGTGTGCGTGCACGTGTGTTGGACACGCGCGACTACTCTCCTCTTTCTCCACCCCCTCTTCCTCCACCACCTCCTCCTCCTCCTCCTCCTCTTTTCCTCCTCCTCCAACGCCTGCTCCTCCGCCTCCTTCTGCTCCCGTGTGTTCTCCAGCCACCTAGTTCGTCGCTCCGCCGGCAGGCTTTGCCTTCGAAATTGTTAAATAAATCGCTAATCCCCGACTCGCGACTCGTTAAACCGACCACGAATTATCCTCGCCGCGTTCGCCGATATTCCGCCATCCTCGACTCTGCTGGTCTTTCGTCGACGACGGCGACGCAGCTCGACGCCCGTCGTTTTCGCGAACCGTCGTCCGACCGTTTAAAAACCGCGATTCGACGTTTATCTACGAACGCGAACGGTAGCTCGTTCTCGCGTGGTCACCGACGACGAAAAAGAATCTTTACACCGACGTATAAGGTTTCGTCCGAGCGTGAACCGTAATAAATAACCGACGACTCGGTTAAGCGCGAAACTAGGATTCCCTGGACTCGTCGAGTCGCGATCCTCGATACGGCAGCGGGCACGTCCGCTGGTCGAAGGCGGAAACGAGATCGCGACACGGTCCGAGGTGCGGGATAACGCTGGAGATACGCGGCGACAGCGATCGTTTGGCGAACGGTATCGATCTCGAAGCATCGGATAACGTCGCGGAGGTAAGGTGGTCGCGGGCGGCTTATCGCACGGCGATGGTTAAACGTTGAACCTCGAAGCGCGAAAATCACGCGGTCGATAGACGTATTACGCGCGTTGTGCAACGAGTCGTCGAACGACACGCGATTTCGTGGACGCCCACTCGAACCAGTTTACCGTTGCAACGATGCAGCCGCGATCCCGACGCGCCGCTAGTCGCCGTACCTCGCTCTATTTTTCCCTCCCCTCTTCCCTTCCATCTTCCCGTCGATCTTTCTAGCCGAAAGCCCGATCGCTTCTCGCGCACTCGCGGGTATTCGCGTGGATCGAGATCTCACGAGGCGATAGACGATAAGCGATATCGATAAGGGGGGAGGCAGAGAAGAAACGGTTGTTCGATTTCTATCAAAACGGTGTATCAACGGATCGCGTCGCGGATAATTTTCGATCGCGAGGACAGAGTCGATAGGGTAAGCGTACGTACGCGCGTTGCACGTAGTGGAGAACGGACAGAGGATACGGTCAGCGAAACGAGGCGATACGGTTCGTTCAGCCGGAATATCGCATCGCGCGTCGTTGCTCGAGTAAAACCTTTTTCGATCGGCGTGCGTGGTCGGCGAGTGGAAAGCGGAGAACCGGGAGAACTAGAAAGGAGGGAAAAATGACGGTGATTCCCGATGACGGTGAACGCGAGCGTTGTCGGCCACGTGGAACCGGTATCGCCGAAATCGCCACGGTTTCGTCGCTCTAGTCGAGGATGTCGTCGCGCTTGCGTGCGTGCGCGCGCGCGCAAACGACGTCGTTTGAAATACGAGGCGAAAACAAGGTTCGTTAGCGGCGGTGGCTCGTCGCGAACCTGCCCGATGATGATCGAGCGTCGTCGAGCGGCTGACGAAATCGTTGCGCGTTTCGATAGGAGGGCCTAGTAGAAGGTCGCGTGGGAATTCCGTCGGACACGATCCAAAGAACGAGTATATCTCGTCACAGCCGGATTAATTTACCTTTCGCGAACAAACAAAATGCCTCTTTTAATTACCTGTCGACAGATTGATCGATCGACCGCTATCTCTCGCTCTCTTTCTCTCTTTCTCTTCGTCGCGATCAGATAACGCGTTAACGTGGCCTGTGTAACCGGCTGGCAACCGGGGACCGTGGAAAATCTCGATCGGCTAATTTTTCCGCCTTTTCCTGCGAAAATCCCGGCTAGTCGTTCCTCTCTCCTTGCCGAGATCTCGATTTCCAAGGGAAATCGGATCCGCGACCGGCCGACCGACCGACCGATGTCCGATGGATCGATAACAGGCAACTCGGCCGATTATCAACGCGGATATCTTGTTTGTCGAACAATCGCGACACGGTTTAACGCCGTCGCGCGCGTTTCGCGATCGTTTCGCCAGACGCGGCGGGACTGTGCGCCTTTATCGGTAGCGAATCGATGGAACGAAGAAAGATAGAGGCGAACGCGCGGAGGTGCGAGAGAAAATTTGAAAGGAGCGTGGTGGTTTCGGGTGGACGCGAGGCGCGTTGAGCTCGCGACGCGTGACGCAAGAACGCGAGAGGGGGTGGATGGTACGGAAGACTGGAGGTTCTCGTAGATCTCGTGGGAGGACATTAGCGGTGGGACGCGTTTCAATCTGTCCTCCTTTGCCTCTTTGATCCGGCGGCGCGCTGGTGCGTCGTGCACTCGCAACCGTAACTCACTTGACGAGGTCGGTCGTAAACTCGGACGAAACTCGTGCTCCGACCGGCAGACGCGCAGCCACGAACCGTTCCGGCGACTCGTCATCCGTTTCGTCAGTCGTTTAACACCGCCGTTCGCCGTGTCGAATAAAAATACGCGGATGACAGACCACACATCGCGCCAACGTTCCCTGACCGGCCAATTAGCCGCTACGGTCTCGCGAAAATTCCCGCTTAAACAGTTATTCGCGTTTCGCGCGACACCTTCGCCTCGCCACCGCCTACGTCGCTTTCGCTGCCTCCCTCGTTGCTTCCGTCGCCGCCATTTCCGCTCTATCCTTCCTCCACCCCGTGTTATTCCACCGACCGCGGCTCCACGAGCGTCGCTGCGTCCGCTTTGGTACCTCGGTGTAGAAACGCGGTGGAAAAGCCGCGCCGGAAGTGGGTCGGAGGGACGTCGATTCGCCTGAAACTCGATCGATCGGTAGAGGAACGCTTCCGTTTGGATCCGCGACGAGAGGGTGAAATACGCGGGAGAGGAGGCGCAGGAAGTGGGAAGGAGATGCCCGGAACAGGACAGCTGGCGCAGCGATCGGTTTTTTTCCTCCCCCGAGAGCGAAGAGAATCGTTTTAACGAGCGAAAGTAATTTTTAAGCGCGCCGCGTTAAGTGAAATACACGGCTGTAGAGGTATCGACGCGGAAGATCTGCCACGAGAGTAGTCGCCGAAGCGAACGGCCCGAGGTTCGTTATCAATATATTCGCGATAACTCGGATTTGCAGGGCGTGCGCGTTTAACGCGACTAGGTTAATCGCGAATCGTTTCGTCCGCGACGAAATAATTACGAACCGACGTACGTATTTCACGGGCGTTATTCGCGGGGGGTCGTTCCGTCTCGGCAAACTCGTATCGGTTTTCGCGAGTCGGACAATACCGCGAGATAACGCAAGGAAGGAAGGAAGGAAGAACGCGCGTGTCGAACTGCGCGACTATCGATCGATTATGCCCGGAGAATGACTGGAGCGAGAGAAATTGGCCGCCTCGCCGCCCCTCTAACGAATTTCGAACATCCTCGGGCAGAGTCGTAACGAGCGGGCCACGAGCGAACTATCCCTGCGGGATCGAGCGCGTTTACGCGCGCGCCGTTTTCGCGATGGAACGGCATCCAATTTCGGAAATTGCAGCCGGGAAGAGACAAATTGAAAACCGATGCGAGAGCTATCCGCGCGGGAGCAAACAAGACTATTCGCCGGTTCGCGTTGCCCGGAAAGATTATAATTTCACGAACCGCTGCCACTTGGTCGGCGTCGGTCGGGATAATAACGTTAAACTAAAGCAACCTCCGTCGTAAGTGGATAATTATCCTTTAGCAGCCGCTACCGCGGCGTCGTTATTATCCTGGCTGGGAAGACGCGACCGGCTCGTTCTAACGAACGTCGAGAGGGAGGAAGCGAGAAAAAGAGGGAGAATTAGTCGCGCGCGTTTGATCACGGTGGTCTATAGCCCCCAACGACGTTGTACGAAACGCGGAACAAACGAACCTTGAAAATCCCCGGGTATCGATTAATTACGCGAACGCGCTTGGTAAATTACGATCCTCGTGGATCGTTGGTCCGCGCGTTCCTTTCGCGCGGGTGTCGCGTGACGACCACGGTTACGCGATCTCTGTCGAAATCCGGACGATCGAGGAGACCGCTAATTACCGGCAAAACGAAATTCATCGTGGTCGCGGTAGTCGGTTCTCCCAAGGACGACACGGAGGATGTCGTGCCGCGACAGGTTGCATCGGGTCGCCAGACATTAGCCGCGAATTACTACTCGGCATAACGGCAATTTTCTTTCGCGATGCTAGCTTCTTCCTCGTGACCCGCGTTCACCGCTCGCAGCCGGCAGCCTTTCCATACGCCGGCAGATATTTACGAGATTATCCGCGCCCCTGGTCGAGATTTCTAACCCTATCGATTTATCCGTTGTCGCCTTCTCTTTTTATTCCAACGCTCGTCGCGTTATCTACGGTCCGAGGTTTCGTGCTTCTACGCGCCAAACTCGCGCGACGTCGACGAAAGATACGCGTCGGTGACGGAATCTCGACGAAAACGACTCGAGTGGCTCGAGTCGTCGTTAATCATCCGGAGGATCGGCCAGAGTCGAGTCTCGTTTCCGGTCGTCGAGGCATCGAAAGGAAACTTTTCTTTCCACCCTTTCGGTCGTCGGACGTGCTCTTGAACGGATCTTAATTATCTGTGTCGCGTGTGCACCTTTCAGAAAGGGAACCGAGCGTTTCTGGCGTGGTCCGCGGCGCTCCGGCGATCCAGGAAGCGATCGTCGCGGAGGACGACCCGGAGACGGACGACGCCGGAAGTACCAGCGGCAAAGCGGCGTCCCCCGTCAACCCCCTCCTTCAGGAACGGTCCAACTGCGAAGAGCTTAGACACGTGGTGTGTCACCTCGAGACGAAAGATCTCTGGGACAAATTCAACGAGTTGGGCACCGAAATGATCATCACGAAGACCGGCAGGTAAGCTCTCGCGAACAAAACGGTGGCCGGGCGTCGTCGTAATTATTCGGTTCTGTGTCGTAAGAGCGAATCGTGCCGGTTTACAGAGATTTTACCGAGAAAGAACATCGGGTCTCGGAAATCGTCTTGCTCCCACTTTTCTCGTTTTTCTTCGGGTTTAATTAACCACGATTCACGGCCGTTCGTTCGTCTCGTGGAACGCCTGGTAGTTTGAACGTTCGCGTACGAAACGACGACGTCGAACGAGCGAGAACGATACCGGACGATTCGCAGACGACGACGACGACGACGACGACGACGACGACGACGACGACGACGGAGAGACGGAGGTTTTCGCGAGAACGGAACGGAATCGGACTAGGTAACGTTATCGAGAGATGCCGGGGCTGAAGGAGGAGAAAGACGAGGAGAAAGACGGGGTGGAGAGATAGAGGAAAGGACGAGAGCGACGCGGCGGACGCGCGCCTAATTGCCCGCCACGACGGCAACATCCGTGCTCCTCCTCGATGTTCGCCGACTCCCGAAGGGGTTCCACTACCCCAGTGCGCGTTTACTCGCGCGTTAGTAATTAGATCTGCGCCGCGACGTTGCTCGTCGCACCCTTCACCCGTCAACTTATCGTCCCTCGCCCGTACCACCTTCCGCGCGCGCCACCCTCCGCCACCGTCTCCGCCTCCGCCTCCGCCACTGCCTTCGTCTCCGCCTCCGCCTCCGCCTCCGCCGCCACCTTCGCAGCCACCTCCGCAACCGCCTCTACATCCGCCTTCACCTCCGCCTCCACCACCATCGTCGACGTGACCGTCTTCTTCTACCCCACTGCCGTCTTACCCTGCCCCCGGTCCTTACCCTCTCCATTGTTTCCCGTTATTCGCCGAGACTCGAAGGGCAGAACTCGGGACCTTCCCCCTCGAACGACGCGTTTCGTTCGTCGTTCTTTTTCCTCCACGGCCACGAGATTCTCTCCCTTCTCGCGGGGACCCTCTCTGCCCCCGATCTCCCGCTGCGTCCGCGAGCGGATCGGCCAAGAAGTGGGCGTGAACGTTTTTCGAAGGAGAGGAAATTCGCCAGGAAGCTTTTTCGATGGAAGAGTTTCGACGAAAGTCGAGTCGAGTCGACGAAAGAATCGTCTGGCGCGCGCGGTTTCGATCGCGACGCGGCCTACCTTTTGCAACGGAGAGAGAGAGAGAGAGAGAGAGAGAGAGAGAGAGAGAGAGAGAGAGAGTGAGGGGGAGAGAGAGGATTCCCGGGACGAGAGCGAGTTAGGGGTTAGAGGTTCGATCGTGGGTGAGGAGGTCGCACAGGGGGTAGAAGGTGGAATCGAAGAGGCTAGCTAGCTTCTCCCGCGAGGCGAGTTCAATTCATTAACAAAGGACGGCTTGATAAATAAAAGCATTACTCACGCTCGTGGCGCTGGCGGGATGAATGCATACCGAGTCGACAAGGACCGAGGAGAAGACGTAGATAAGATCGGCGGGTGTCCCCGCGTTTTAGTGGTCGAGCAGCGGGGGGCCCGACACGGTATTAATGTTTGGCCTCCGAGGCAAAACATTCACGCCAGGCTTCATCCTCTGCCCCCTCGATTCTGGCCCTCTCCGCCCCTCCGCCTCCTGCTTCTTCTCGTACCCGCGAACCTGCCACCACCTCGGTGTCCGCCGTTAGCGCGTTAACCCTGAAATCGGCGTGGACGGTTTTCGACCACCGATCATCCGTCGCTATCTTTCGCGCTACTTCCAGCTTCTTCCAGCTTCTTCCACCTCTAACGGCCATCCCGAATCTCGTTTTCGCGTCGCTTTCTCTCCTTTTCTCACCTCTCCGTTTCTCTCTTTCGCAGGAGAATGTTCCCGACTTGCAGAGTCTCGTTCAACGGATTGAAGGCGGACAGTCGGTACGCGGTTTTGATGGACATCGTTCCGGTGGATAACAAGAGGTATCGATACGCGTATCACAGAAGCTCCTGGCTGGTAGCCGGCAAGGCCGATCCTCCGGCGCCCGCTCGTCTCTACGTGCACCCGGATTCGCCTTTTACGGGCGAGCAGCTTCGAAAGCAGGTCGTCTCCTTCGAAAAAGTCAAGCTCACCAACAACGACATGGACAGGCACGGGCACGTGAGTAGCTTTGCCACCGATCCAAGCTTTCCTCCCTTTCCTCTCCTCTCCTCTCCTCTCCTCTCCGCTCCTCCCGTTTGGTTTCGTTGGATTTTCGCGCGAGAACGGAGAAGCGACGTAAAGGCAAGACAGGGTCTGGCGCGTTGTGTCGCGACGGTTCGCGGTGCTGGATTTCTCCGCGACGACAACGACGACGTCGACGGCAGCGGCAGAGTTTTCGATTCATCGGATGACTGACGTAAATAGGAACCCCGATCGTGGGCTTCACGGGTTCTTCACGGTACTCATTTCGTATTCAGAACGTTACACGCTGCCGGACGAGGGCAAAGTGATTCTTTTGAATCGTAAGCGAAGGAACGTCCGAGACGGGCAAAGTGCTCCTAATTCATACGCTTTTTCTCTCGTCGAAATCCCTTCGTATCCGTCCATCTATCGGTCTACCCGGGGCGATAGATAGATAGAGAGACGAGAGTCGGAAGAAAGAGGTGGAGCGCGCGCGAGAAACGCGACGAATCGCGGTGCTCGGAAAAAGGTCGATTCCGATACCGGTCGAGAGGGTGACGCGCGCTGACGCACGAGCGCGCGCGCGCGCGTGTGCACGCTTGCGAGTTTTACGACGGCAGCGGCCTCGGTGGTGCCTGGGCGAAACGATACGCGCGGAACGTTCGCGTTGCCTTTGGTTTATTTGCGAACGCGTCGACGAAGATACCGACGCGCTATATAAATCCTCTCACGAATCGTAACAATTTGCAGCTGGTGTTGAACTCGATGCACAAATATCAGCCGAGGATCCACCTGGTGAAGCGACCGGACTCGGGCACGGCCAAGCCGATAACGGACCTCGAGAAGGAACCTCACAAGACCTTCATATTCCCAGAGGCGATATTCACCGCTGTCACCGCCTATCAGAATCAACTCGTAAGTCTCGCTTTGTTTCTCGCTACCGCCACGGCGCTCTTTCCTTTCTTCCTTCCGTTCCCCGTCCCGCCGCTCTATTATTCCCCTCTTCCATCTTTCTTCCACCCTTTCTCGCGTTTTTTCTCACGCGCCGTGACGCAACGCGCGTCTCCCACGTGCCCCCGGGACTGGTTCTCCCTCGTTTCCTCGTTGCTCGGCCCCGTCGCTCCGGATAATCGTTTCCTCTCTACCGATCGAACCTTTGCGCCACGCCACCACCGCGAATTTTCCACTTGCCTCCAACGGGCAGAGTATAGCTGCGCGCTGAAATAACCGGGGTACGTTTCGGTCGCTTCCCCCGGCCGGGACGCCGGTTCTCTCCGCTTTGAATCTAGCGCGCGCGAGCGCGTTGGAACGCGACGATTTAGCCGACAACCGGCCGTAGATTTAACCTCGCGACGATTCTTCTTGCGCGCGTCCAACTTCGGATTCCTCGGTTCGGAGCGCGAGAACGGCGAGAGCGCAATCGTATTTTACGATAGTCGTTTAGCAGCGACCGCCTGGTGTGTGGTCCGACTCGCGGTCGTTCGCATTCCACGGGCGTCGCGATGCCTCGCGGCACGACGCGAGACCCGATTTCCGAGGCAAAAGAGACGCGACGCCTTTCCTCTCCTTCTTCCTTTCCTTCCCAACCACGATCGCGATCCTTTGCCTCTGTCCGTTCGTGCGAAACACGTCGTCGTCGTCGTCGTCGTCGTCGTCGTCGTCGTCGTCGTCGTCGTGGTCGTTTGACCAACGCGCGCGACTGCCGAACAAGACGGCAGACGAAAGGCAAAGGAGAAAGTCGAAGCTCTTTCGTTTTGCGATTCCGTCGATTCCACGTGCACCGTGGTTTCTCCTTTAATATAAAGGGAGAAAAGTCGAAGATCCGAGTGGAGGTCGTTTCGATGCAGCGACAGAGAGGGATAGCGAGGCGGGAGAGAGGAAAGCGAGGCAATGGAGCGGCTTCAAAGCGCTAACGGGTGGTCCGCGCTGGTCGACCCACCCTCGTCGTCCGCGACAACCACGTGAACGTCGGAGCCGTTGATGACGATGATGAGGTGCGAAGAGATGCCCCGGCAATTACCTCGACTCGGCTATCTCTCTCTCTCTCTCTCTCTCTCTCTTCCCCATTCCTTTTCTTCCTCACGCTCCTCGCCGAGGTCTTCCGTCAACCTCCGTTCCCGCTGTTCTCGCCCTCGCGCATGTCCTTCGCCCTCCTCCTCCTTTTTCGTATCCCGGTGTTCTTTGTCCCCTGGCCTCCGGTCGTTATCGCGATCGGCGACACGCGCTGGAAGAAGAGACACGGGATCGGGAACGCGCGACGATGGTCGGTCGATAGCTGGCGATTCCGCGCGGGAGGAAAAAAAAGGGAGCGGGGTGGCAGGGCGTGGAGCGAAGAATCGGTGGCAGGGACGGTGGCTCGTTTAGCCGGCCGTCTCGAAATTCATTCGTCGCGGTTCGCGGCTCTCCCATCGGTCGGGCGTCGTTATCGTGCTCGGTGTTGTCTTTCGTCTTATTCGTTGGCCTCGTTGCGCTTCTCGTGCTCGTCATCGTGCTCGGGGTAGGCTCGTTTAGCAGGGACCAACTTTTTTTTCCCTCCCAGCCACTTCCCGAGTACGAACTACGTATCGTTGCGGACGCTTTTTGTCTTCCTCTTGTCTCTCCCTCCCGAGTCTCTCGTAACGACCTCTAACACCGACTCGATTCGTCTTTCTCGCTCGCACGCGTCATAATTCATAACCTAACTGCCGTTCTTCTTCCCTCTGGCCACGCTCGCCGTTGGTATTCCTCTCCATCCGTTCTGCCGGCTCCTTATCGCCAGCTGATGTCTCCTTGCCTTCTCTCTTTCGCTCGCTCTCTTCCCCCTTTCCCCCCTCGCCCCATCCTACCGCCGCCGTTCCTAATCGTCGCGACCGTCGTGCTCGTCGTTATCCAAAGTCCGCTACTACCGTCGCGCCGGGCTTCTTTCTTCGGGCTTTCCTCGCTTTTCACGCGCTCGCGCTCTGTCCCGAGGATCGTTCCTCTTCTCCGATTTCGTTCCCCTCGTCCCTTCCAGCGGAAAGATAAGAGAGATTACCCGGTCTAGAGATAACGGACCACGATTTCTTCCGTTCTGGGTCGCGCGACATTGTCTCGAGCGCGACGCTTTCGCCACGCGATCGGTCGCTCGGTCGGCCGGAGAGGAGAAGAAAGGTTTGGAAGGATAGCGTCGGCCAGCGATTCGTAAATTTCTCTCTGTCGGCGTTGAACGACGCGCGATAAACGTCACGGACACGCTTCTCGTGCCGCGCTTCGTTTCGCGATTTCGGTAGAACGATAATCGGCAGGGGGGAAGGAAAACGGCGAACGAAGAGGGGGCGAGGGATGATACGAGAGGTATGGCGGAGTAAACGCGGTTTCAACGGCTTCTGGTAATAATTGCGGAGTAATCGTAATCGCGGGCATCGCAGTGGAAAATTCTCGTGGCAATAAATCGCGCGTCGCTATCTTTATACTTTGTGCCTTTATACTTTGGCTAATTAGCTGCTCGCCGCTGAAACGGGGGCAACTGCCTGCTAAGTCGTTTCACGTTTCGTGAATTCCGAGAAAAACCGCGCGAAGCGACCGTGAGCGGCGCGGAGAGAAGAGGAGGGAAAGGAGAGCAGAGAGGACGAAGCCGAGCGGCGACGACGCGGAAAGAAGAAACGAGCCGATGATCGCGTCGCGGAAGAAGGTGGAACGGGTGCAGAAGCAGAAGCAGAAGGTGGAGAAGAGGAGGAACTAGCAGCGGCGGAGGAGATGGCGGAAGACGCGAAGGAGCAGAAGAAGGAGGAGAAGAAGAAGAAGAAGAAGAAGAAGAAGAAGAAGAAGAAGCAGTCGATGGTTTTAGTGGCTGCAGGCGTCGGCGTCGGCATGCACGAACGAAAGAAAACATAAATAATCGCGTTCAAATGAGACAGAGGCGAGAGAGAGAGAGAGAGAGAGAGCGAGAGAGGAGAAGAGGAGGCCCCTCTGGAAACCACACACGGCGGCTGTGCGCGTTGGCGGCTGTTCGGCTGGCACACACGCGCGTGTACGGCCACCGGGACACACGCGCACGCACACGGCACTGTCTCGATATCTCGTCGAACGTCGAAGGACGCGAACGTCTTCGGCGTCCGCGAATTCGGCCCGCGACGAGGCGCGCGGATCTTCGACCAGGAGGAAAGAGAAAAGAGAAAAGGCCTGGAAAAGAGAGCAAGAGGAGGAACGCGCTAGGGAGCGTGACAGCGCGCAACCGGCACTAAATAGCGGTGCGCGGGACCCCTTCTTCGATGAGCGCGTCTCTATTAAATCTATTATTAGTAACGGACCGGGTGCGAAAGCATCCCTTTCAATTACCTACGGCTTCATTTCGCGCAGCTTCTGCGAAGGGAGCGAGCGGACCAGAACCGGGACACTCGACAAGCCAATGTCGGCCCATTTTCCTCCTCCTCTTCCGTTCGAACGCGTTCGACGACGCATCGGCGAGGAAAGACGTTGCTCGCCGCCGCGGTACTCGAATCGCCGTGCCGTTTCCGACCTAAACTCCGATGCCGAAATTCCCTCGGGTTCGAGAAACCGATCGGTCCCGAGAGAAACCGAGAAAGGGGGAGAGAGAGAGAGAGAGAGAAAGGGGGAAAGGGTGTGGAGCAACCCCACCCACCGCGTTCGCAAATTCTCTCTCAATTTTCATCGGCGCTCCGCAGCTGGACGTAATTGGCTACCTGTCGTTCGATGCTCGAACGCTATCTGTCCTTAGGCCAGCGTTCGTCGAGTCGCGCCTTTGTTCGTTTTCGTTGAAAATTACTTTCTGCCCCGAAAACCGCGTATCTTTCAATGCGCATCCACGACATGCGCCGCACCGTCGTGCGCCGCGTTTCTCTCGCTTCCATCGACCCTCCGCGTTTCCTCTCCTTTCGTTTCTCGCGCGTCGCAAACGCGCAAATTTTACACTCGCAAACATCGCGTGACGTACCGCGGCAGACTTTGTTTCGTGCGCCCGTCATTGACAGCTCCGAATCGTTCACCGAACAGTACGCGGCGAACGGTCCGCCGAAACCAGAGAAACAGAGAGCAACGAACTTTGTTCGCGCGTCGGGTGTTTCTTCCGCGATTCTCGCTATCCTGACCGATACGGGGGTAAAATATCCGACGGAAAGCGCGCCTCTGGTTGCCACGATTTATACGCGCCGACGATGATTCGGCGTCGAAACGAAATTAAAGAGGCGCGTGAGAAGATTTATCACGGCAAAGTTAGCAGAGAAGCGCGTCCACCGTGGACGCTGTAAATCGGTCTGGGAAGTGGTCCAAGCGGCTCGGTCGGACCGTGTCAGCGAAATCGTATAACTCGGTGGCCGTTCCTGGGATAGTCGCGCGATCGACCATCGAGAGAAGGGAGAGAGAAGGGAGAGAGAAGGAGAGTAGTTTTTCGCGGAGATAATAAAGCGCGAGAAATCGGTGGCGTTTCCGTCGCTTTGAGCTCGGCGGGATAGGAGGAACGGGATGGCGCGTAGCCGAGCGTCGAGTTGCTAAATTAATCGGTGCTCGTCGCGAGACCGCCGAGGCGATAGACGCGTGGCGAGTCGAGTCCGTCACCGGTGCCGCGGATAGAGGACAGAGGATAGAGGATAGAGGATAGAGACGGAGAAAAAGGAGAGGGCGCAAAAGGAGCTGCACGATATCAAAGAGAGGAAGGCTGGCGCAAAGTAGCGGGCGCGCGGGTCGATTTCAAAGAGAGAGGAACTGGTCGCGAGACGAGCGAACTAGCAACGCGGTTGCGATCGTAAAACGAGCAGCCGGAGGAAGGAACGACGTACGGTCGGTCGGACGAGATGGCGCGCGTAGGGTCGAGGGGAAGAAGAAGCTCGCGCGGAGACCGAAGCGGAACGACGACGACGACGACGACGACGACGACGACGCCGCCGCGCGCGGTCCAAGTAGCTAGACGACGAGGACGACGCTGACGGCGGAGGTGGGCCAGATGTTTGGCTAATGATGTCAGCGGAATCGTAACTAAAACCGAGGCAGCTCCGGGCTTAGCGCGGCTTAGCCTCGGCTTTGAACGAAAGAGTCTTATTACCAGGCTGCACGTGCTGCTCGTGAGCGCGAAACCGTAGGGTAATTGGACCACCCACTCGACACCGACCCTCTTTTCCTCTCTCCTTCTCTCTTTCTCTCTTTCTCTCTTTCTCCTTGCCCCTCTCGCCCCTGTCAAGTCGCGAGCGACGTCGTTTCTTTCCCTCCTTCCTCTAATCTGTCCATCTCGAGGCTTTCCCTTCGGAAACGGAAAGCTCTCGCGTGTTTCCTTCGTCGAAAGACGAGATGAACCCACCGCGATCGATGGATCGATCGGGTGACGGGAAATCGTAACGCGAACGATCAAACACGAAGGGGTCGGAGGGAGGGAAATCCGTGGCTCGACTTTTCGGAAGCAAACGACCGGGAAGGATCTCGTCACCCCGAGCTAATTCGACGCGTAGACTTTGACCGATGCCACCTGTGCATCCGCCGCGTCGTGGGTGGCCCCCGTACGAGCGTAACGCGAAACGGACGAAACGACGACGGGCCCCGCTAGCGAGGACGAATCGGGGTGGATTTCCACACGGTAGAGAACGCAGAGAGAGAGAATGCGCTTTCTCCGGCGAGAATTTTTTTTCGTGCTCGACGCTGGATCGTTTTCCCGGCCTCTTCTAATTTTACGAGCCGTTGACTCTCGATCGATGGAACGAACCGTTTCGAAACGGCCGACCGTTTTCCGATACGCGTCGTTGCCGCTCGGTGACGTAATTTCCGAGGCGAGCTGCGGCAGCCGTCGGCGTCGTCTCGTGGCCCCGGGGCCACGGGATAAAACCGCGAGGAATGGCGGAATTCGCTGCTCGATCCGCGATCCATCGAGCACCGATAAAACCGAATCGTCCCGTTCACCTTTCTGTTTCAGATCACGAAACTGAAGATCGACAGTAATCCGTTCGCAAAGGGGTTCCGGGACTCGTCGCGGCTGACCGACTTTGAGAGGTAAATGTTGCGAGCGTTCGGAGCGACGCGATCCACGCGCGCGATTACGTCTCGAGAGCGAATACGCGCGTAATCGAGCAGCTTCCCTTTCAGGGAGACGATGGAGTCGATGTTGGCGGAACAGCAATCGCTGAGGTTTCCCCATCGGCTTCCGTTCGAGATGGATCAGCTACAGGCTGGCGCCGTGGGCAATCTCAGCCTGGAGGAGAAGGCGTTGTGGGCCGCGAGGTCGCAGATGCTGCTACGGGCCGCGGCCGCGGTCGCCGTGAGTCCGTACGCTCAGCTGGTCGGGCCAGCGGCCCTGGTCTATCCCGGTGCGTCGTCCGCCGGCACCAGTCATCAGCAGCAGCAACAGCACCAGCAACAGCAACAGCAGCAGCAACAGCTCGGCCACCTGTGGTGGGCCTCGTCGATCGGCCCGACGTTGTTCGCGGCCGCGCATCACCAGCAGCAGCAACAGCAACAACAGCAGCAACAACAGCAACAGCAGCAGCTGGCCGGCTCGAGCACGCAGAGTCCGAGCACGGGGCCAGCGGCTCCGCGACCTCTCTACCCTTCGGCTTTGGCTCTGGCGCACCATCGATTCTCTCCGTATCACACGGCCACCGCGCCGAAATCCTCCACCCCGGTCGGCCCGTCGCTCTCGCCGTCGCCGTCGCGAAGGGCGACACCTTCTCCTACTGACAGCCTCGGCAGAGACGCACAGGATCTGTCGCCGTCGTAGTCGGCGTCGTCCGCCACGGCGGTTCCAAACCTCGGTTCCCAACAACGGCGCCTCTCTTCGACCACCTCGGGACCACTCGCTCCGCTTCTCCCCGATCTCGCGCCGTTCTTCCCGGTTGCCCGGCCATCGTCGTGGATCACCGTCGCTGCCACCGTCGTCGCCTTTTCCATCCATCCCCACGGTTCTCCCCTCACGATCGAGTAACGGAGGAACGCGCGACGATAGCGGACGCAGAGAGCAAGCGGAAAAATAGAGCAAGAGCAAGAGGAAGAGGAAGAGGAAGAGGAAGAGGAAGAGGAGGAGAAGGAGGAGAAGGAGGGAAAAGAAGCAAGCGAAGCATTGTATATACGGTACGGTCGTTGCTGGATCCCCTGGCCGCACGTACGTGCATTTTTAAGCGATCAATCGTATGACGACCTTTACTGTATATAGCTATACATATATACGTACGAATTCACGAGACCTAGGTAATATCGACTTCGTTCGTGTAACATAAGTTGTATATTTCGTATCACGACTTATCGTTATCGTTATCGTTATTTATGTTTCGACTCCGTACTCGACGCGGAGAAACGCAGAGCGGGACATTGCGCGTTCGCGAGCGAAGCGAACGCGCTCTGCGTCTTGTCCGCGAATAGCTTAAGCAACGACGATTCATTGTCGCCGGTATCGGCGATTAGCGTTAGCGTAGAGCGTTATATCGTTGATGCTTGTGTTGCGAACATGCATAAAAAAATATCGCTGTGCAAGCTGCTCCCTTGTAAATAAACCCTAATAAACTCTTGTACCGAGCCTATAGCTACCTGTTCGTTCCGTTCCTTCCTCAGGAGAAATCATCCGTCTCCATCGCGGAAACGCGTGCCGAATCGTTGGAAAGCGTGGCGACGACAAACCACGTCCGCGAGGGTATCGATCCGTCGGTAATAACACGCGTCGCGGTGCCGTTGTCTCCCTTCCGGTGAAAAGCCAACTTTTACCTGTCCGCCGGAAGACGCGTGGTCGTGGCCGTCGTCGTCGTCGTCGTCATCGGCGGCGGAGGCGGCGGCGGCGGTGGAGCAAAGTCTACGCGGAGTTGTGGTCGGGTCGCGGACATTGCACGGTTAACCGAGTACCACGGTTTCGGACCGGACGAACAAAGCTCCGGAATTACGCGGTATCGTGAGAGGGAAACGGGCTATGTTTCGGTATCGCTTCGCGGGAGAGACGATCGCGGTGGACGTTGGTTCGGAAGGTGCGGAAAAGAAAGGCGTCCGAGCGAGAAATCTCGTGGGAAGAGGAGGAGGCGGAATACATCGGCGAATCGGAGGCGAGCACCGTTGGCGTTTTAATGCGAAACGAAGGCATTATAAAGCCATTAACCGTTGGACGAGTCGGGCCGACTCCGGCCAGGTCGAGGCCGGTTGCGTGCGAATGCGCGCATCGACGCTCTTGAATACACAAAACATTAACGGCTTTGCTCGGTCGCTCACCCTCTTCTCCCGGCGAGAAAGACGGGTTTCCTCCTCTGGGCCGAGAAACGCCGCCAAACCTTCTCCGTCGAGCTTTCCCTTCCTTTCGCGCCTCCGACTCGCTTCTCCTTACGCTCCCTTTTCCTTACTCTTTGCCGATCTTCCGATTCATTCGATAGCGCGTTTTCAACTCGGCGAGTCGGCTAAATCGTCGATTATCCTCGATTCGACCGAGTAGCGAAGGAGAGCCTTGCTAGCTCGGACCGTGATAATCATCCCGTTCTTTTTCTCTTATCGCTCTTCTTGCTCTGCTTCCCGTTTTTGTCCCGCTTCTTTCTCCGACTCTTGGATGCCGACGATGGAACGCCCACTTCCTGACCGACGCACGGCCGCTGGTGTATTCCGCGTTCGCGAGCTGAAAGCGGCCGCGAAAAAGTGCGTACGTATGCGGAGTGGAGAAAACGAGGGAAAGAAGAAAAGGCCACGAGCGTGTCTGCGACAATGGGAGAGAAAGGAGCGCGAGAGAGAGAGGGGAGGAGGAAAGCTGGCTCGCCTAATTTACTCGGTAATGTCCCGCCGGGAATTAACGAGCAGGACTAGCACGGGGAGAGGGGCAGCCGGTAGCACCTAGCCGACATTAATTATGTCCGCTGCCACAGGTGCCAACAACTCGATTATCAGATCTCGATCGGATCCCGATCGCTCGTTTAGATTACGCTGCCTGCCGCGGACCGTCCTTCTCCTCCTTCGCCTCCTCCTGCTCCTCCTACTCTGGCCACCGCCTTCCACCGCTCGCGCTTCTTTTCCACGCTTTTTCGCTTTCCCTCCGGCTTTCCCGGACCATCCACGCGGACAGCCATACGCGTGGCCGCTGCTATACGTCGGCGGTTGTCGGGGCGAAAAAATGAGGGATTTCGAAGGGGCGGAGGAGAGGGAGAGAGAGGAGAGGGTGGAAGCGATCGTTAGATTCCGTTGGCGTCTAAAAATTGGCGCGGACGAGGGTTGGCGGAGGCGGCGGTGGCGGCGGTAGGGGTAAAAAAGGGCTTGCCGCGAAATAAAATGGCGGTGGCGAGGATGGCACCCGTATCGATTGGCTCTCGAAACGCGGCGGCAAGGTAGGTACGCGCGGTTGCACGTAGGTGCGAACCACAGGGCATCGTTTCGCGTGGGTGTAAGAGCGGTAGCTGCCACGCTGGACGGCCGGACGGTCGCCTGGTCGGTCGAGTGACCGGTGGCGCGACCGGTCGACCAGGCCACCCCGAGAGCCTCCGAATTGCTCGCTCGCTGCCGGCGTGCCGCGTTGCGCGTTCGCCCAAGCGCCTATTAATTGATCGAATTAATTTGCCGATGCGTTGCCAACGAGCGTGCCGGGGATACGGGGCCTGGTGTATTCGCTATCCCCGATCAAAGTCCCCGGTCCGTTCTTCCGAACCCGGCAAAATTTTCCCGCTGCTCCCGTCGAAATTCAATCCCGGCGGCGGTGCTGCTCCGATTCCGTGCCCAGAGACGACTCGATTTTTCTCGTCGCCGCGCGCTACGTACGCGTACGCCTATCTCGTCGTCGTTGGCGAGATTAGCGAACGTCGCGCGGTAGGTCGTGCACGCGAGCGAGCCAGCGAATAGAGCTGCCTCTGTCTCCTCGAGGAAGGCGCGAAGCGGAGAAAGCGAGAGAGGAGGAAGCAGCGCCGGCTCGGGTTTCGCCCTTCGAGGACTCGGTTTTCTTTTGTCCCGTGGCTCTCGGTTGGGTGGCACGCCACTCTCTCTCCGTGCGGCCCTTCTTCTCCCGACTCCGTAGCTCGAATGTCGCTTAAGTCCGATCTAACGAGACTCTTCGTTTCCCGTCCACCCTCTCGAATCGTTCGGCAACGCGCGAATCTCGTTCCAGTCGATCGACTCGCGTGCCGTAGGCTACCAAACGCAGCCAGAACCTACGCGGATCCGCGCACCCGAGCATGTTTTTCTACCGCTCTTTCCGCGTCCGGATTACACGCGCGGGACAGTTACGTCGGACGCGTGACGGCACAAAAGGGAGAAAGAGACGAAGGTCGTGATGGATCGCTGATCGACTCGAAAGCGTTTGCGTCTCGGACGTTACGTTTCGACGAATCGTTCAATGGGGAGAGCTAAAGAGAGAGAGAGAGAGAGAGAGAGAGAGAGAGAGAGAGTGGAGGGATTTTTGGAAAAAGTCGAGTCGTCCGAGTCGATCGGGGATCGATCGAGGACAATGGGGATCGTCGGTGGTTAAGCTTGTCTAAATATTTGGAATCGAGACACGGATTCGGGTGACACGGAGGAAAATGCGCGACGAGTCCGTGACGAAACGCTCGACTGCAGGTGGCCTACAGATGCCAGGGGATTATGGGGTTTATCCCCCAGCGGGATATCGATCCCATTGTAGCTTGGCTAGGAAGCGAGCAAGCGAGCGAGTGGAGTGGAGTATAGTCGAGTAGTAGTCGAGTAGAGAGCCAAGTCGAGATCCACCCCTTGGGTCGCGCTCGCTTTCTCGCGAGATTCTTCGGCCACGAGTATTTCCTCTCGATCCGATCTCTTCTCGATGCGTCGGTAAACACGGGACACGGGACCGGGTAGTTGGGCCGCGAGACGGTCGGGAAATATGGCAAAATCGACGAAACGAGGGTAAAGCAGGCTCGTTGTTTTCCTCGTTTCTCCGCGATTGGAACAAGTGGCAAGGTAACGGGCAAATGAAGTCGAATGTAACTTTATTAGCGGGTAGGCGGCGAACGCGTCGCCGAGGGGAGCACTCGGGTATTTCTTTTGGGAAATAAGCTGTCACGTATCGTTGGTAAACGCGAGGGGAGCTGCGTCACGCTCGGAGGGGGAATAACGGATTAGACCTCGCTTATTCCTCAAATCGAAATATTATTCCCCGCGTTTCGCCTGCCCCTCGTTCCGAGCAGTCGAGCTTCCATATTCGGGGGCTGCTAATTTATTTGCTCGGTACGTTGTAAAGAGTCTCGATAAGAGGCGAACAACCGTGCGACGAACGAGGACGCGTTGCCCCGTAATTACCCGGCCATAAATCGGAAAAAAGTTGATTAAATTAAAACGGCCATCCATTTCGCGGCGGCGATCCTTCGTTCGCGATTCGCGTCGCATCGAATCGTCGAACGCGGTTTTCCGCGGCGGATCTCGCAGCGGAGTCGACGAGAAATGCGCGCGCGCGAGAGAGAGAGAGAGAGAGAGAGAGAAAGGGAAGGCGAGTCTGGCGAGGAGAAAAGAGCGACGCGGCTGCAAGAATTTCCGCTCGTTACAGTTGGAAAGGCGCAAACTATATCAGGAAGCGCGGCAATTGTCTTGTCGCGAGGAGACGAGCCGTTCGCCCGAGGTGTGCGAGCCTCGGCACGCAACTAACAGGAACCCGATAATTCACGGGCCCACGAGGCGTCGCTCCACGCGATTCCGCTCGATCCTGCCGGTGTCGAACTTCTCGGACCCGCCGGAGAGCGAGAAGCAGACTTTTCCAGCTCCTCGTACGACGGCGGGGGGCCGAAAGGGGGTTTCGAGAGGAACGAACGATTTTCACCCTGCGTTTACCCTCGTCTCTGTACCACGGGGTATACAAAGGTATGCGAGGTTTAATTGCGCGTTGTAGCTGGAACGGAGCAGCACCGTACCGGCCGCAACGACGACGACGACGACAACGCGCGTGGCAGAGAGAGGTCGATTGACGTAAATCACACGGGTGGAGGTAAAAGACGTTTCGGTTCCGTGGGGCAATTAAGTTGGAAGGACTGGACCGTTTCGACGCTCCTCTCGATTCGATTGCCCGT